ACGGGAGGCAGTTTTCAGTATTGATGCTGACAGTGTCGCTGGCCCGGATGGCTTCTCATCCCTATTTTTCCAGCATTGCTGGGATATTATTCAGGAGGATGTTTACAGGGCGGTATTGGACTTCTTTGATGGTGGTCATCTTCCACGGGGTTTTGCTGCTACTTCTATTGTCTTGCTACCTAAAAAGGATGGTGCTTGCAGATGGACTGAATTCAGGCCAATCAGCTTATGCACAGTGTTCAATAAGATTATTACTAAGCTTTTGAACACTCGATTGAGTACACTGCTACCGCGCATTATTTCCCCTCCACAGAGTGGTTTCATCCCAGGCCGTCTGATTGGAGATAATGTTTTATTGGCTCAGGAGCTTCTCTAAACTTTGGATGATAGAGTGCGAGGAGGAAACACTATGCTGAAGTTAGACATGGCTAAAGCATATGATCGCATGGACTGGGGCTTCATTTATTCTGTATTGGAGGCATTTGGATTTGATCAGATCTGGATTGACAGAATCAGGCGGTGCATTTCGGAGTGTCGTTTCTCCGTACTCCTAAATGGCCGCCCATGTGGTTTCTTTCCCTCCTCACGAGGACTCAGACAGGGTGATCCTATCTCCCCATCCTTGTTCATCATTGCAGCAGACTACTTCTCACGTTTGCTCACTCAGAGGTTTCAAGAGTATCCCAGTATGTGTTATCGACATGGAGGTAGTGCTCTTGTCTCACATCTCTCATTTGCTGACGATATGATCATCTTTGCCAACGGTCAGAAACAGTCTATCAGGAGGGTCTTAGACTGTTTGGAGCATTATGAAGGAGTTTCTGGCCAATTGGTGAATAGAGACAAGAGCGGTATTATACTATCCAGACGGGCATCCACTAGTCAGATCAGACGACTAGAGATTTTGACGGGCTTCAGACATCAGCAGCAGCCTTTCACTTATTTGGGTGTCCCCTTATTCAAGGGGACTAAGAGGAGCTTCCTTTATGATGACCTTATCCGCCCATGTGGCTTTTTTCCCTCCTCACGAGGACTCAGACAGGGTGATCCTATCTCCCCATCCTTGTTCATCATTGCAGCAGACTACTTCTCACGCTTGCTCACTCAGAGGTTTCAGGAGTATCCCAGTATGTGTTATCGACATGGAGGTAGTGCTCTTGTCTCACATCTCTCATTTGCTGACGATATGATCATCTTTGCCAACGGTCAGAAACAGTCTATCAGGAGGGTCTTAGACTGTTTGGAGCATTATGAAGGAGTTTCTGGCCAATTGGTGAATAGAGACAAGAGCGGTATTATAATATCCAGACGGGCATCCACTAGTCATATCAGACGACTAGAGATTTTGACGGGCTGCACTTGCAGCAGTTCCCAGTTCAGCTTCCCCTACCTGGAAGAGGCTGAAATCAGTTGGGCCACGGACGGATCCACACATTGCTTGGCACCTTGGAGCCGGTCAGATTTTCTTCTGGCATGATTGTTGGATGGGCGAGACCACGTTGGCATCCCTATTCCCCCACACATCTGCGAGGGTACAGGATTTTTTTGATGACACTGGGTGGGATTTGGGACGGTTATTACAGGCCCTTCCTTCTCACATGGCGGGACAGATAGGGGCGATATCTTTATGTGCAGATGCCCCGGACCGAATTGTTTGGAAAATTACTTCGGATGGTGAATTTACCACCAAATCAGCATGGCAACTAGTCTATTCGGGTCGCCAGCCTCAGGACTCATATCGACTGCTGTGGAGCTCTATTTTGCCTGCCACTATTTCATTCTTCTGCTGGAGACTCTAGCAGGATCTCATACCAGTAGATGTTGTTATTCAGAGGAGAATTGGATGTCAGTTGGCTTCTCGTTGTCAGTGTTGTTCCGAGATTGAGACCATCAATCATATTTTCACGAGCAGCAGCATCTCCGACCAGGTATGGCAGCACTTTGGAGACATCTTTCAGATACCTATGACTTCAGGAGAAGGGGTCAGACAGAGGTTCCAGAGATGGCGATATTCTGGACAGCACGTTTGTCGTGGACACATTCGTATTATCATACCTCTATTGGTATTTTGGTTTCTATGGACTGAGAGGAATGATGCGAAGCATAGAGGTATTCGTATGGTGGCCAGACGTATTATTTGGAGGGTCTACCGCATGATCTCCTTCCTTCATATGGGAGGACTATTCCGAGTTGAGCATTGGCGAGGAGATGTGACACTTGCATCCTTTTTTGGAATTTCTTTGACCCGTCCTCTCCCACCACCACCTATTATGGTTGTTTGGCGCACTCCACCTATTGGATCCTACAAGATCAATACTGATGGATGCGTCAAAGATGGATTTGCAAGTGGTGGAGGCATCATTAGGGACCACGCAGGATACTGTATCAGGGCATTCTCAGCATCGTATGGCCCATGTTTCATTTTGGAGGCTGAGCTCAGAGCCATACTAGATGGGCTTCTATTGGCCAGAGGACTTGGGATATCAACTATTTGGATTGAGGTAGATTCAATGCTGGCCATTCACTGCATCACCAAAGGTGGAGGACCATGGACGATTCAGGGTATTCTAAGACAGATCAGAGACGTCATTCGCCTTGACAGAGACACAGTTTCTCATATCTACAGAGAAGGTAACCAGGTTGCAGATTCTCTTGCTTCAGAGGGTTGGGATCACCAGCATTACCAAGAATATGGACCACTTGACCTGCCCCGAAAAATTAGGGCATTGGTGCAGATCGACAGATATGGATTGCCCAGCTTTAGAGGTTCGTAGTTTAGGCAATCATTTTTTCATTTTTCTTGTACAAGGGAGTAGTACTTCCTCATTTACTTTGTTCATTTATAATTTTTCATTTGTTGCATTGTTGCTTTTTGGAGGTCAGGTTTATGGCCCCCTCCTTTCCTGTACTCTTGATTTTTATGAAATAAACATGGTTGGGGAACCCTTAACCCCCATCGACCTTCCTTGGGGGACCCTAAAAAGTCATTAAGGATGTGTGGATGTCTAAAAAAAAAAAAAAAAACCCTAAACCAAAACCAAACCCTAAACCACACTTTCTCTCTCTAGCCCAAAACACTCTCCCTTCTATCTAGAATGCGAGACAAATCACAAACCTTCAAAAATCTTGATCCACCATCCAACATACGACCATTACCCGGTGGATTTCAACCCCAACCAACCAAAAATCTTCCACCACTTCAAGCCACAATGGTTTTGGAAGCAATAGAATCAGATTTATATGAAAATATTGACGGTACGAATCCCAATGTTTTCAAAACTCCACTCTACGCATAGAATCAAGGTCAGGGACCATTACCAATGATTCCAGAAGGGCCGCAATCCCTAAACCCCAAACCCTAAACCAAAACCAAACCCTCAA